TAAAACCACCATCACCAGTTTTTCAAGTGGTCCAGAAAATCTTTAGTGAAAAATGTTGTGCGGAACCAGCTATAGAAGTGGAAATGCCTCTTAAGAGTCGAGGAATGTGAGTGTGACTGACACGGGTCCCTACAGGATGCTGATCTCACAATTTGTGACATTTTCTCCTGTTCTTCTCTGGATTGTGTTAATAATCTCATCTGTCCTTGATTACTTCATTTGTTTGTTGTAATTTCCTTTGGCGAGCTCTGAGCCATTCCCGTGGACCCAGAGTGGGGACCCCCCCAGCCCTGTGTCTCCTGACGTTACCTGTACTTGGTGTCACTCCTGTTGTGATGCGCTGTGTGCTTCTGCTAGGTGTGAGTTTATAGCAGAGAATTTGTTGCTAAAAGATTAAAGCACTGGGCTTCCCTGGTGGCGCAGTGGTTGAGAGTCCGCCTGCCGATGCAGGGGACGCGGGTTCGTGCCCCGGTCCGGGAGGATCCCGCGTGCCGTGGAGCGGCTGGGCCCGTGAGCCGTGGCCACTGGGTCTGTGCGTCCGGAGCCTGTGCTCCGCGGCGGGGGAGGCCACAGCGGTGAGAGGCCCGCGTACCGCAAAAAAAAAAAAAAAAAAAAAAAAAAAAAAAAAAAAAAAAAAAAGATTAAAGCACCACACTTTTAAAATTATATACTGTTTTTTGAATTTGATAATAAAACGACTTATGTTTCAACAGGATTTCTAGAGTGTGAGCAAACTGGGGTGACCCAGCCCTCATACAGAAAATTGCTTATTTTCTTAGAGTGTTGCCCCTGAGTGTCACCCTGGGTACAGGACCATTGCCAACTGCTATTCAGAGAGTGAAATGAGAAAAGAAATAGACAAACATTTAAACGGAAACAGTTGTGATTAACACGACACAGACACACACACCCCCAGTGAGGCTGCTGCCCTGGGGGTTCTGAGCAGGGCAGAGGGTTTCGCACTTGGCTTTATTTTATTGGAAGTGTTGTCCAGAATGTGGGACACAAGTCAAGCCATGATTCTTCTGATCCTTAATTGGGCCATTTAAGCTTTGCTCTTAACGATCCCACACTTGGCTGCTGCGGACAACCACTGTTGTCTCTCTGGTCTCAAAATATGGGGTGAAAGTTTGACCTAAAACATTAGAGTCAGAGAAATAGGGCTCAGAGATTGTTTAGTCCCAGACTCCTTAAACTGGGATGAGTACACTGAGGTTATTTTAGGCCATTTGTACAGTAAACATTATACATTAACCCTGGAACTTGGTAGAAGAAAACTTTGACCTGTTAGCCTTTTTTTTTCTTCATATTTTAAAAAATAGATGTTTCAAAGTAGAATGCAAAACCTGTTGAATTTTAAGGGTAAAATGTAAGTCTTCAAGAAGATTATTGTTGGGAGAGTCACTTTAAGCCGGGCCTTCTGACCTCAGGAGACTCTTCCTGTTTTTTCTCCTCTGTTGCTAGAAGGACCTGGTGGTGTTTGATCATTCATTCATTCACAGCTCAAATGAAGGTGTTACTAACTATGCTGTTTAGAGTTTTGGGGGGTGTATGAGGACATAATGAAATACTGGAACTTGAGTAGATGGGATAGCCATTCTCCAAGAAGCGGCTAAACTACAGAAGTTTGGAAAACCTCAGAGTGGTATCAAGAATTGCTCTTGGTTTTGAAGAAAGCATATCTGTCCCTTTTGGGTTGTTTTCATGGGCAAACATTAATTACAAGTAATTCCAGATATGAAAAGAAAAATTTTATATGCATTAGTGTAGGCTCTGGTCCTTTTCTGTGTGGGTCTCTGCCATGAGTGGCCTTGAAAATGCAGCAATGCACCTGAGTTAATTCCTTCACTGTAGAATAATTATGGTGGAGATTATGAATTCTTTGTAACTGAGGGTTTAAAAAATATTTTCATAATTTTTTACTAATGAAAACTTCTTAGCTTTCTCACCTCTTCATTGGTAATTCAGTAGAAATATGTTGCTATTCCACATTATGACCACTGGGGGGAGTAGATTATGTATCGATATTTTCATGTTTTGCAGTAAAAACAGAGTATAACTTGTGGCATAAAGGTATTTCTGTTTAACCAATTAGCCCAATTTCAATTGGAAAATTTCATGTTAGGAAATTATAAATTCTTACATTTTCTTAAGAAGCCCTTTATACCTAGTCTCATACATTTATGGGATTAGTGGTGGGAAAAAATAAAGAAGATATATGTTTTACAAGCATCATCAGCTGTGGAATCGGAACAAGATTCTGACTCTCCTGGCCAGCATTTAAGTTTTGTGTCCCTGAGCTAGCTTTCAACAAATCTTTTTCTTGAAATATTTAAGTCTTGGAAAAAAAGGCTTCCAACTTCCACCTGCCTTTTTGGGTTTTTTTTTTTAAGATTATTGGAGACGCTGTGCAAAAATAAAAAGTAGTTTTTCTTGACTCACAACCATTTATTCTTAGCCTGTAGATAAAAAGTCTTGACAATACAGTAGCATTTTTCTTTGAAAAAAAATCATAGGGATGATGAAGAATTGTTGGTTGTGATTTTTAAATTTTATTGACCAAGTCTGAAAAGCACCGTCACCGAGTTAGGGAAGCGGCAGGGCCCAGCCTGGGGGCAGGCGGTGCCCAGATGCAGCAGGAGGTGCGCATCCTGGTGCGGAATCGGTGTTGGGAGGGTGAGCTCACCCTCTGTCTGGGTCTGTGGTCCATGCTCCTTGCCGTCAGCTCATCTGAGAGTCATGGGTCCAAACCACATGGTGAGACAGCACCCAGGCTCTCCGGAAGCCCAGGTGGCTGGCCTGGAGCCTGCACGTTGTGTAAGAGGCGGTGAGGTTAAGGTTGCCCGACAGCCTCTGCCCTCCTGGCTCAGGCCTCGCTCCCTCTCTCCTGTCGGACCCCTTCCCCCAGCACTTCCGCTGGGGGCCTCAACCTGGCAGCTGTGCCCACTGAGCGGGTGGCCTTGGGATAATTGCCTGACCTCTCTGGGCCTCAGTTTCCTCACATTTAAAATGGATCGGGTTTTTCGCCTTTTTCTTTTCCCTGTGTCTTCGCTCTCCACCCACCCTCCTACTTAGTTTCCCCTGTCCTGTTGTCCCACTGGCATATTTTCTTGTCTCTTCCAGCTTCTGCTTCCTCTGCTTTTCCCTCTTCCCCATCTTCCTTGTAGCTTCTCCGGAGCCCCCTTTCTCCTCCTCTCCTCACGTCGCCTTCTCCCTGGCTTCCCACTTCTCCATTCTTTCCCCTGGGCAGCACCCCGGTGTGGGTTTTTATTACCATCTGATGCTGAGGATCTGGGACTGCAGGGGGATATGGAGGAAGGAAGAGGTTTAAAATTTTATACACTGTATAATAGACCAAAAAAATCACTTCCCTTGTGAAAGGGGGAATTTGTGTACATGACGTGTATTGACTTGGATTACAGGCGCCCGTGGGCCCTTCACGTTAATGTGTGGGTAGAAGGCAGTATAATGCTTTGAATGCAGGATACATTTTCCCATTTCTAATTTTGGTGAAATTTGTTTTAAATTTTGCCATTTAACATTTTTATTATGTGTATCTTGGTGGTATATTGCTGTAGTAAACATTACCAACAGCCCCTTGGTCAAATATTTGGAAGTTTTGTCTTCTGCGATGTTTAGACATAGAGAAAAAGTTTAATAATGTGAACATTATTAAATATCTGAGGATCAGTTGGTATATTGATGAATTTAACTACTTCTGTGGAATGATGAAAACTCCTGTCACCCTCAGCTCTTCATTAATGGAACTCTGGCTGAATGTTCCTTTCCGCCCTTGTTCTCAAGATTGTCTCAGGACTGTAAAGTTGTGCTCCAGTAGAAATTTAATGGGAGGCACATTGTCATTTAAAAATTTCTAGTAACATTAAAAAATAAAAACTTAAAATTAATTTTAAGAATATATCTTATTTAACTCAGTATATCCAAAGTATTTTCATTTCAACAAATAACCTTATATATATATATAAAATTATGAAATTACGTTCTGCTTTCATTCTGTGTGTTTTATGCTCACAGCGCATATCATTTGGCACTAGCCACACTGCAAACGTAGCCATGTGGATAATGGCTATTTTTAACAGACAGCACAGTCCTAGACACTGGCTTGCAAAAAATAGTGTATTTCAATTTAAAAATTGACGTTTTGTCTCTGTGTTAGTGTGTTTTAGGTTTTTAGAAAAATTCCCTTGAAGTTTCTGTATGTTGACTTACTAACAGCTGGAAAGGAAATACCAGGATGTTTGAATTTTAGTGTTGTATTGTCATACTCTTGAAGTTAAATTGTTTGTTATTATATTATGTAATGTTACTGTTACAACGTTAATATATCTAATGCTGTGTTAGCATACAGTAACAAATTGTTATTATAATTTGTTCATTATTTACAGTGCTGAGCAGGTTAGCTCCCATTCAGAATTGTGAAAGTATATTGGGTCATGGCAATATGACAAAGCAAAACATTTCAGTGATTTGAGTTTTATAAAGCATATGTCACCTGGCTGTCTTTGGGAAGCTCACTGATGCTCAGAAAGTATACGTAAACTGTGTCCCCTTACATAATTAATTTATTGAAGATTACTTCTTCGTATGTGTAGTTGTTTTGATTTCTAAAAAATGAGGATGTAATTGATTTAGGGAATCATTAACTCAGTTCGTGTCCTGTGTGATGGAAGCACAGTGAGGCTCCTGTGCTTGGGCAGGACTTGGTACCTATCAGTGTAAACACGCAACACAGCCCATCCCATGCCCCTGCTTATCTGCTTCAGAGGGACAGGGTTGAGGCTTTCAGCAAATCTTACTGGTAAAGTCATGCATGTATTGCTTTTTTTTTTTTTGAAGAGCCATTTCCTTTCGGTTTTAACCATATTACTGTGTCTGCAGACAGTTTGCCCAGCAGAACAGCTTTCTCTGTTCTGATAACTTAGAAGTGTGCCTTCATCTCTGAAAAAAAAGACATTCTGATGAACTAGTTCAGTTTTAAGATGTTTTCCGTGGAAGATGATAGTGAAGATGAGGAGGAGAAGGTTGCTGAAGGTGTTTATGGTGGAAGGGCCCCTGCTGGCATCTTGGTGAGTTACATCCACCAGCTCCTGCCTCCCCGCTTTCTCCACCTGGGATATGCTGTGAGGCGGGGCCGGGAAGACCGCCGGGGAGATCGGCTGATGCCTTTTCCTTGGAAAATGTAGCATCAGAATGAATTTTATTAACTTTTAAATGTTGTATTCAACAGAAATCTTTGGCTACCTGCTCTCCCTCCTTCACTCTACACCATCTCTCTACCCTTTTCTATTTATTATTTAACAAATAATAACTTTCTGCCTAGAAAAAAATGAAGCTGCTGCTTTAAACTGAGAATCTTTTTGAAACTAGGTTTCCCAGGAAATGTATTTCATTTCACATTCTCTTTGCATCTAAGTGTAGTAGTTGAGGAATAAAAACCATTGAAAAGGTTTATGTTTTTTTTCCCTGTCTTTCAGATTTTTTGACTGCCTTCATCCAGTTCCCCATCCCCCAGCCTGCCTCTGGTGGCCCTAAATCTGATCTCTCTCTATGAGTTTGTTGGTTTGGTTTATGATTTTTGTTGCCCTAGCCAAATATTTGTGAAAACAAAACTAATATTTTGAAACTGGCATCTTATTCTGATATGTGATGGGGAAGAGTGACAGCAGTCTTTTTTCTCCTGTGGTGGCAAACAGAATTTCTAATCTTGAAATATGTGGGGAAAAATGCAGATTGTCTGAGTTTTTTATCTCGAGTTTCCTCTCTTATGAGACATAAAATAAAACAGGTCACATGAGAGTGTAAGTTTTAGAAGTCTGCATTAAGGAAACAAGCAGGTGAATTAAGGACAATATAATTTAACTTTACCCATGGAAGCCTTTTCTGTAAAAATTAATTGAAGTAAATACAGTGAGGTGAAGGTAGTTTTTAGAAAATCAGGGGTGTACATTTTTATGAAAACAAGTGTAAAATAGACAAGACAAAAATTATACAGTTTCTAAAATCTGTGGCTCATAATCAGGTTGATTTTAGTTTTAAAGTTGTGCAAATTTTTGTCACCTTTAAAAATGTTACACATCTGTGTGCTTTTTGCCTTTGGACCTGTTGGCAAAAATGTACTCGCTGGGGATCTTGGGAACTGGTGGAACTAGACATCGTTTGACTAGGAACGGAAGTCAGGAGCTACGGAGAGAGGTCATTTACTTTTGAAATTTCATTTTAATAGTACAGAGTATATGTATATACGGATTCCTGCGCATTTGTTGTAAAGGTCAGAAGGGAGAATGGTGAACACAGCTGGCTGTGAAATAGTTTAAACATTCATTTAGTGAGTAGCACCAGCACGTGCAAACCGCTCATCCCAGGAAGTTTGCTTCCTGCTACTGGTGTCTTCTAGAGCGAGGGCAGTGGGTGTTTGGGCTGCATTTTATGACATTTCTTTTTGTGTTAACATTACAACATTGAAGTTCCATGAGTCACCTCCCAGCTCCAGGAGAAACTTGGTTTTTCTGAACGGCTGGTGTTCAGGACACGGGATTTGCTATCTGCTCAATGAGCTGTGCTGATTGTGTAGGAGACTTTGTAACCTGGGTGTGGGCGGCGAGGGGGAATCTCAGGGTCCAGGCCCTCAGTGACCCCGACGCTCCTTGCTGGTTGTATGCTGTTTGCGCACACCTCCTGTTGGAACGTGAAAGTCTCCATGATAAAGGAGATGATTTTATGTGTTTGGAATGCAAGTGTAAAAATCTCATAATTTAAAAAACCATGAGGAAACTTCTGGGCTTTGTTAGAAATGGGGAATTTTTTTAAAAAATCGTATTTCTATAATTTTTAAACAAAAGAATATAATTCCTTTATTTGGCAAGGAAAAGGCCAAGTTATTTCATATTCAAATAACCTTGAAGTTACAAAATAATCTGCTGGACTTATTTTCCCCCACTTAATTTAAATTACTTTGCGTTTTTTAAATTAGGGCAGAATGTACTACAGGAGTTCTTAGCCGAAGTTGTAATCCTAAGAAATGCTCCTAGAATTGAGTCTATCTATGGGTTAGAGCTGGAAGGGGCCCTGGAGGGCATCTGGCCCTTCTTACTAGAGGTGAGAACCCCTGCACGGGGGTTAGGAGGACCTGTTCAGGCCGTCCTCACTCCTCTGTGCTCTTTATCAAAGGGCCTGCTCGAGTCTAAAAAGCTCCGCTTTTTCAGAGAGAACTTTGTATGTTTATATTATTTACTGCGCGTTGCAGTAACATAAACAGAGGTGGAAGACAGCAAGTCACCCTGTAGGCGGGGCAAGTGCCTTATGCTGAGTTGGGTGCAGAAGTGGCTGCCCCCAGCTTGGTGCATCTGATATCAGCCCCTGCTTCATGGAATCCTGGAACCACACTGGTGAATGGGTCTAAAACCAAATGCTTTCCTCTAGGTGGACAGTGGTCACAACACTAATTAAATATTTAGTTGCACAGAGTTTCATTTCCTCACAGAAATGTGGTGATGTTACCAGTCAGGCAGTTTGGGGGAGCACATTCTCCAAGAATCTTTGTTTTTACAAATTGATTGATTGCCTGTTAATACTGATATCTCAGATGAGCTCAGGAATTTGGGGGAGGGTAGCTTAGAGGCTGTGGCCAGAAGTATGTACAGGCTGTTTGAAAGTTATTTATTATCCATTTTTGTATTTATGCTCCATGTGTTTTCAGGAGAGACTTAGTGGTGGCCCACAGTTAAAGCACATGCTGCTCTGCACTGCTGTGTGGTGCGTGACTGAACCACCAGCTTAAAACAAAATTCTCTTCGTTCAGCAAATATTTATCGTGCCACACTGAATCCACTAGGTGCTTCGTTGCTGTGTGCAGGCTTTCTCTAGCTGCGGCAAGCGGGGGCTACTCTTCCTTGAGCAGGCTTCTCATTGTGGTGGCTTCTCTTGTTGCGGAGCATGGGCTCTAGGCATGCAGGCTTCAGTAGTTGTGGCACATAGGCTCAGTAGTTGTGGCGCGCAGGCTCAGTAGTTGTGGTACACAGGCTTCGTTGCTCCACGGCGTGTGGGATCTTCCCAGACCAGGGCTTGAACTCATGTCCCCTGCATTGGCAGGCCAGTTCTTAACCACTGCGCCACCAGGGAAGCCCTCACAGATCTTTTTGTTTGCTGTTACTAATATGTCTGAATTATTTGCTGCTCTGAGTTTGTGAGTAGCACAGCTGGACAGATTTCCACCGGATGGCCGTGTGACGAGCACCTCATTTAGTTTGCCTGGATGCTCGGTCCTGGGAGCCCGGCCGTTGGCCCCATAGACCTGGGTGAGCCCAGGACTGCAGGTCTGGTCCGGGGCCGCTTTGTGCGTAGGGTTGGAATTCCATCCCGTGTCTCTAGCTGTCTCGACCAGGTGTCGGTGCAGTCTAGAGGGATTGGACACAACTCCCTGAAAGGATCAGAATAAAATCATTAACCTCGGGACTTCTCTGGTGGCGCAGTGGTTAAGAATCCGCCTGCCAGTGCAGAGAAGATGGGTTCGAGCCCTCGCCCTGGAAGATCCCACATGCCGGGGAGCAACTAAGCCCATGTGCCACAACTACTGAACCTGTGCGCCTAGAGCCCGTGCTCTGCAACAAGAGAAGCCACCGCAATGGGAAGCCCACGCGCCACAACGAAGAGTAGCCCCTGCTCGCTGCAACTAGAGAAAGCCCGCGCGCTGCAGTGAAGACCCAATGCAGCCAAAAATAAAATAAATAAATAAATTTATATATTAAAAAAACTGTTAACCTCTCTCAGCAAAACTTTTATTGTTATATATAATTTGTGTTTTATATTCATATCTTAGGTATTAAATATTCAAAACCAACCCAGTTCTTCTGAAGAAAAGAGTAGACACCATTTCTAGAATCATTCTTGCATAGGTACTGTGCATTGTCTCATTGAAAGTAGGGAAAATATTTATTTGATACTTTTGCTGTTTTGCTGTTTGTTCTAAATATATATATATATATATCTTTTGTATTTGTCTCTTCTTTGAAGCCTATTGTATAACCTAGAATCATCTTTGCTTAATTTAAGACATTTAGGAAGGGTATTTTTCAATGGGTGGAAATAACAATATGCTGATCTTATTTTGTTGGATATCGTTTCAACTCTGCGACGAAATCATCTCAGAACTGTGTGTGCCCTTGGTGTAGCATCTTGGCCTCAGCCCGGATCTGTGTGGAAAAGACCGTCAGAAACGTGCCTGAAGCCGGTTCCGGGAAGGCTGGAGGGGAGCTGTGTTATCTCTAGAGTGTCAGTCACTTGCTGAGATGTGGCTGAACTCCACTTGACCTGCGCGTAGAGAGGCTGCATTCAGTCAGGTCAAGGGGCAGTAGCTGAGATTGTAAAAACCTTTGGTCATCTTTGTTTTACGTTCTAACAAAGCATGAAGTCGTAACCGTAACCGTAATAGACAGACACTCAGTCAGAAGATTGCAATTACGTTGGAAACGTCATTCCTTCAAGGGAAGCGGGGCAGGACAGGCACACCCCTGGGTTCTGTCCCTCCCCGAACACTGACCCACTTGCCTGTGGTCATCAGACACAGCTTGACAAGCTGCCATTTGGGGTCACTTGTCCCTGTCACTTGGGGTGGTCTGGCCATCGGGGTTCCTCAGGCCTCGGTGATTCCTGAGTTGGATGGTCACCAGAGCCCCCTGCTGAGCTTTAAGTGTAAAATATAGATTTCCCAGACAGACAGTCAGAATTGAGGAGGCAGTGGAGCCTGGGAATTGTCTTGTCTTTAAAACTGCAGACTTTGTTCAGATTTTTCCTGCTAAAGGCCTTTTCTGTTTGAGGATCCAGCCTGGATTTGCGTTTAGTTGGTCACGTCTGTCATCTTCCAGTCACTGACCGCCCTCAGTCTTCCCTTTTGTGACATAAACTGCTGAGGTGAGTGCTGGTCAGTTACTCTGTGGAGCTCCCCTCAGCTGGAGTTTGTCTGTGGTGTCTCCTGATTAGATGGGGGTCGCGTGTTTGTGGCTGGAACAGCACAGCGGTGATGTGCTATTGTCAGTGAATCATGAGGGGTCCCTGGTGTTGGTTCTCTTGT